CGAGCTGCAGTATCTGGCCGCGCCGCGACATTTGTGGAATTGCGATTTTATTTCAAAACTCACGGGAGCGGTTATTCTAAGAACTTACGGCGCGAGTGAAAATCGCGCCGCGCGCTAAATTACTGGTACAAAATGATCGGGCGGTTTTCGCGCGGCATTCTACTAATTGCCCGCCGGTGCCGCGGGACCCGCATACAACCGCGCCCGCTGCGGGCGAAAACCGCGTCGCGAGTTGTGCATTACTTTTTACATAACATTCTACAGAAGCTGCGGGCCGGCAACCGCCGCGGGGCGTGGGTGAAAATCGCGCCATGAGTTCTTAGGCTCGATTTTTTTATCCGTAGTTAAAATAACCAATAGTCAAATTTGACAGAATGCAAATGACAAGTGGTTAAATATCAGAAAAAAACGTTTTTCGAACAATGGTTAGCTTGACTTTTAGTACATTTTTTAACTATTTGTTTACATTTTGTTAATATTTAACCTGTTACGTATTAGTAGGTCACCGATGTTGCTGATTAGCAATTACGCGACTACGTCGCTGCATAGAAACCAAGGCCTAGCAAGAAGCGCCGACGCAGCACTCTCCGCCGCACTCGACCTCGATCGCGGCCGCTCCAAATTTCACTCTTGATTCTAACATCGATCATCTGTCACCGATTAGCTAATTATTAATACTCTAATTTAAATTAATTTTATCCAATAAACTAAGTTAGTTAATTTTCTACATTTCTTTGCACCCTTCGACTGTAGCCTTCGTAATTAACCATTAGTAGCAAAATTTAACAATTAGTTATTTTAACCGAGAATCAAAAAACTGGGCCTTAGTCTGACGCGTGCCCTCTGTGTTCAGGTGCGCGCGGGCTCGGCGGAGTCGCTGCTGGCGCTGTCGCGCGCGCGCTCGGCCGCCGTGAGCACGCGCGAGGCGCCGCCCGACGCGCCGCACGCCTTCCGCCTGGCCGACGCCTCGCCGCGCGAGCTCACCTTCGCCTGGGACATGCCCGACTCCGCCACGCACGGCACGCTGCGCCGCTTCGTGCTGCAGTGAGTGACGACTGCCGCTCGATCGTGGACCGAAGCGATCTCGTCGTTATGATCTAGGGGCCTAGGACGAGTTCATATCATATGGCAGGGATGGCGAACCAATGGCACGCATACTACTACACACATACAATATTTAGGGCACGCCCACCTATATGTTTTATGTAAGGGCTATCGTATTTGCCCTCATCAGTTAGCAACACTGTAGAGTAAGATCCTGTCACTCGCCAGTGGCACCACTTGTACTATACCCCTCATTGATAGCATTAGGTGATATTTGATGGCACGTCTAAGACTTTATCAAACATTTTTTTCGGAAAAGTGGCACGTTGATACATAAAGGTTCGCCATCCCTGTCATATGGCTTCCCTAGCGACTGCGTAAAAAAATTACATTAAATGTACAACGGATTGTACAACGTACCATCGGCCACAGTGTTAACTATCCATTGCCTGTCATGTCGTCTCGTTCTGTCGCAAAGAATCACCATTCGATTAGAGCGAGAGCAAAAACGGAAATGTATAGTTAACAGTGTGACTGTGTGTACCTAACGGACACTTTCAGGAATTTAAGTGATCCTAGATTTTTTTGACGCACTCGCGACTATAAACTCGCACTAGGCCCCCTGTCTACGGCGATACACCGCTTCGTCGTCCATTTATCCCACGTGTTGGGTTCCAACACTAAAATTCATTCATTCTTTCATTCGTTCGGTCTTGTGACGTATGTATTTGAGCGCCATCGCGCCCAGTAGCGTTTCGTACTCCGGCCATTACACTTGTGATTGTGCTGTAATATCTTAAACTGTGCAGACCTGGCAATAAACTTAATTAGTGAAACACGGCCTTTCAATCACCAACAACTACACCAACTCCGCTGCCCTACATGGTCCTTCGAGCTTCGAACTGCCTGGTCTGCACCTCATGTGTATAAAGTGGGACAGGAGCCGCATCATCGCGCAACAAAACTCCTGCATTGTGCCTACATACACGTGAAAACTGCATTCACATAGTGCCGATAGTGCGCATCAAGAAATCGCACTCATAATACAACGGGGGCCGCATCATCGCGCAACAGAACTCCTGCAATCGTACCTACAAACATACATGTGGAAACTGTATTGCTTGCGTTTCAGGTACGCGCCGTCGGACGCGCCGGAGGCGGGCGCCACGGTGGTGCTGCCGCCGGAGGCGCGCTCGGCCACGGCGGCGGGGCTGGCGGCGGGCCGGCTGTACGCCGTGACGCTGCGCGCCGAGACCGGCGCCGGCGCCGGGCCCGCCGCCGCGCTGCTGCAGCGCGCGCCCATCGCCGCGCCGCCGCCGCCGCCGCCGCACGCCACGCCGCAGGAGCTGCGCCGCACCACCACCACGGTACCACGCCACGACACTGATGCCCGTTTTCACCACCAATCCCTAATTTTAAGTGACCCCTATGGTAACACATAACAGGAATTTTGTTTTCATAGTGGTCACTTAAAAATTAGGAATTGATGGCGAAAACAGGCATGAATGTTTTTGTGTTACAAGTCCTAAAACTAAATATTTAACTTGTTGTGACTATTAGGCCGTTCCCTACCGTGCGATGTGGAAGTCATTTTGAAAAGCCGTTTAACAGTGGACGTCCTGTGGCTGAAATGATGATGATGATGATATTACGAAACTTGTCATATATTTACGCTACGCACTTTAACATTAGAAAGAAAGAAAGAAAGAAACATTTATTGCCATGGACATCACAAAAGACAAAAGAGGTAAAATGAAAAAAAAAAGCAAATAAGACAGAGGTGACATAAAACATACAATGAATGAGCAATTAGTAAACTAAGCAGTGCCACCCTGTCGCACAGCGATGCCCATCGCAATGGGACCCCACTCAGCATATGCCGTGGCCCCCGGTGAGGGAAGCCACGACGCTGGTTTTCAGTGTGCCCCATGCCGAGTTATTTCAGTATTCATTCATTATAGTGATTAATTTTAAAAACTCATCGACTCGTTCTCCGCTGCCGGAATATACATCCCTCTTTCAGTGAGACGATTGTCACATTGCACCGCGCCTCTCCCCCGCGCGGAGGCGTGACGTGTGTGACAGTCGTATCGCATTAGTCGTCGCCGCTGGGACCAACGCTGACGTTGCGGTGTGGCAGGTGGTGGTGCGGTTCCGCGCCAACCTGTTCTCGGCGGCGAACGGCAACGTGACGGCCTACACGCTGGTGCTGGGCGAGGAGCCGCGCGCCGACACGCCCGCGCCGCTGCCGGCCTGGCGCGACGTGCAGCGCCTGCCCGTGTGGCCGCCCTACCAGGTGCGTCCGACTGACTTGTTCCATTTTATTTATTCAGGGACATACGTCATACAGAGTACGATTACAGTTCTGATCTAGATTTTAATCCAAAAAAATGTTTGTAGCATGTTTAGCAGGTGTGTTAGATGACACAAAATTTTAATAAAATGGCATATACTAAAGCCTGGTCCGTGAGTACGTAGAATTTTGTCCAATGACTTTAAGCTACCCATCATTATCGCTCGCGCGTTTATGTTGCTGTCGCGCTCGCACACTCACTGCGGGCGCGCGTCGCACAGTCGCGACAGCAATATAATTACGCGCGAGCGATAAGGATGGGTTCGTTTCGTTTCGTTTCAGCCAAATGACGTCCACTGCTGGACAAAGGCCTCCCCCAAGGTTTTCCACAATGAACGGTCCTGCGCTGCCCGCATCCAGGCTCTTCCCGCGACCTTTACCAGAAGGATGGGTAGCTTGGGGTCATTGGACAAAATTCTACGTGCTCACGGACCAGGCTTTACCATATCTATACTACTATCCGATGACCGCCTTGAGTCATCGTATCGGCGACACACACCGATTATGGGATTATTTATTTATTTATTTTATTTTATTCGGAAAACCAACAGCAATACAATACAAATAATGGGACCTTAAATTATGTATCTGCTTATAGAAGGATGTATCACTGACGCTCCTGCAAAAAAGCCTAGGCGAAGAACACCGATCTTTAGTCGGCCGATACCAAAATTGGTGTAATGTGCGCACTTTCATACATATCCACACTGATCAACAGCCCGACCCGACTATCGACCAACTAAAAATCGGTGGCTGCGCCTAGCTAGGTTAAAACGACTCAGGATTACGACAGTCGTTCGGCGTCGAAGTGGACGCACGAGAGGTGTTGTGATGGCTGCGGTTGTGGCAGGTGACGGAGCCGTACTACCCGTTCCGGTCGTCGGAGGTGGAGGAGTTCACGCTGGGCGCGGAGCGCTGCGAGGCGGAGGGCGCGCGCTACTGCAACGGGCCGCTCAAGCCCGCCACCAAGTACTTCGTCAAGCTGCGCGCCTTCACCGCGCCCGACAAGTTCACCGACACCAGCTACGCCGTGCTGCACACCGGTAACGTACCGCCGCACAGTGTGTTACCTATGGAAGGGACGGCAGAAATTATTTATGGTTCAAAAAGGGTTTAAAATAATAAAAAAAACATATTCTTATATACATTTATGGTGTCTAGGTGTCATATGAATCCGTTTCGGAAAAACTTACAGCATAGTCCAGTCAATAAAGCATTATAGATGGAAAACTGTAGAACACAATTTCTGACTTCAGGACTTTATTTAGGAGGTGAACATAGCAAAAGTCCCCGCCCTTAGCCCNCCGATGTTGCTGATTAGCAATTACGCGACTACGTCGCTGCATAGAAACCAAGGCCTAGCAAGAAGCGCCGACGCAGCACTCTCCGCCGCACTCGACCTCGATCGCGGCCGCTCCAAATTTCACTCTTGATTCTAACATCGATCATCTGTCACCGATTAGCTAATTATTAATACTCTAATTTAAATTAATTTTATCCAATAAACTAAGTTAGTTAATTTTCTACATTTCTTTGCACCCTTCGACTGTAGCCTTCGTAATTAACCATTAGTAGCAAAATTTAACAATTAGTTATTTTAACCGAGAATCAAAAAACTGGGCCTTAGTCTGACGCGTGCCCTCTGTGTTCAGGTGCGCGCGGGCTCGGCGGAGTCGCTGCTGGCGCTGTCGCGCGCGCGCTCGGCCGCCGTGAGCACGCGCGAGGCGCCGCCCGACGCGCCGCACGCCTTCCGCCTGGCCGACGCCTCGCCGCGCGAGCTCACCTTCGCCTGGGACATGCCCGACTCCGCCACGCACGGCACGCTGCGCCGCTTCGTGCTGCAGTGAGTGACGACTGCCGCTCGATCGTGGACCGAAGCGATCTCGTCGTTATGATCTAGGGGCCTAGGACGAGTTCATATCATATGGCAGGGATGGCGAACCAATGGCACGCATACTACTACACACATACAATATTTAGGGCACGCCCACCTATATGTTTTATGTAAGGGCTATCGTATTTGCCCTCATCAGTTAGCAACACTGTAGAGTAAGATCCTGTCACTCGCCAGTGGCACCACTTGTACTATACCCCTCATTGATAGCATTAGGTGATATTTGATGGCACGTCTAAGACTTTATCAAACATTTTTTTCGGAAAAGTGGCACGTTGATACATAAAGGTTCGCCATCCCTGTCATATGGCTTCCCTAGCGACTGCGTAAAAAAATTACATTAAATGTACAACGGATTGTACAACGTACCATCGGCCACAGTGTTAACTATCCATTGCCTGTCATGTCGTCTCGTTCTGTCGCAAAGAATCACCATTCGATTAGAGCGAGAGCAAAAACGGAAATGTATAGTTAACAGTGTGACTGTGTGTACCTAACGGACACTTTCAGGAATTTAAGTGATCCTAGATTTTTTTGACGCACTCGCGACTATAAACTCGCACTAGGCCCCCTGTCTACGGCGATACACCGCTTCGTCGTCCATTTATCCCACGTGTTGGGTTCCAACACTAAAATTCATTCATTCTTTCATTCGTTCGGTCTTGTGACGTATGTATTTGAGCGCCATCGCGCCCAGTAGCGTTTCGTACTCCGGCCATTACACTTGTGATTGTGCTGTAATATCTTAAACTGTGCAGACCTGGCAATAAACTTAATTAGTGAAACACGGCCTTTCAATCACCAACAACTACACCAACTCCGCTGCCCTACATGGTCCTTCGAGCTTCGAACTGCCTGGTCTGCACCTCATGTGTATAAAGTGGGACAGGAGCCGCATCATCGCGCAACAGAACTCCTGCATTGTGCCTACATACACGTGGAAACTGCATTCACATAGTGCCGATAGTGCGCATCAAGAAATCGCACTCATAATACAACGGGGGCCGCATCATCGCGCAACAGAACTCCTGCAATCGTACCTACAAACATACATGTGGAAACTGTATTGCTTGCGTTTCAGGTACGCGCCGTCGGACGCGCCGGAGGCGGGCGCCACGGTGGTGCTGCCGCCGGAGGCGCGCTCGGCCACGGCGGCGGGGCTGGCGGCGGGCCGGCTGTACGCCGTGACGCTGCGCGCCGAGACCGGCGCCGGCGCCGGGCCCGCCGCCGCGCTGCTGCAGCGCGCGCCCATCGCCGCGCCGCCGCCGCCGCCGCCGCACGCCACGCCGCAGGAGCTGCGCCGCACCACCACCACGGTACCACGCCACGACACTGATGCCCGTTTTCACCACCAATCCCTAATTTTAAGTGACCCCTATGGTAACACATAACAGGAATTTTGTTTTCATAGGGGTCACTTAAAAATTAGGGATTGATGGTGAAAACAGGCATGAATGTTTTTGTCGATTGTTACGAGTCCTGAAACTAAAAATTTAACTTGTTGTGATATTACCAGGCCGCTCCCTACCGTGCGATGGAATGGAAGTCATTGGGGGAGGCCGTTCAGCAGTGAACCTCCTGTGGCTGAAATGATGATATTACGAAACTTGTCAGATAGAATACAATAGAATATAATACTTTTATTCAGCATTAACATTTATGTGTATATGTTACGGTTAATGTGATAAATTGAAAATTATTAATAATAACCGGTTATTATGAATAATTACCGACAGTCGCGGTAAAAGTGATAAATTAATCACATTTAACAGTGATTGTTTAATAATTCAACCTTAGTACTAACAAATTTCATAAAAGAGAACAACATCTTGTGTACGTGCTCGTGTACAGCCAAACTTTTGAACGTTTTGATATCATTATATTAATATAATTTGGCATAATGAGTTTGTAATGTTTCTTGCATAATATTATTTTTCCATGCTGCCTATAACATAATGTTTTGATTTAAAGTGAAAAATAGGTTAAGGTGCGGCGGGGGTGGCCCTTGGGCCACCCCTAAGCCGCCTATTTAGTTTTATACACATATAAATGACCTCATATTAATCACATTTACCAAATCATGCGGTAATTATTCATAATAACCGGCGATTATTCATAATTTTCACATTTATCACTTTGACCGTAACATATACATGTACAGAGGTTAAATTACTGAGCCATGCTGAAAAGGCGCCCGCTCAACAAAAATCGTGACATGACACAAGTCGTCAAGTCACGAAGCTGGTTTTCAGCTGGTACCAACATAGGGGTTGATACGCCAATATTTACGCTACGCACTTTAACAATTATTTCAGTGATTAATTTTAAAAACTCATAGACTCGTTCTCCGCTGCCGGAATATACATCCCTCTTTCAGTGAGACGATTGTCACATTGCCTCGCGCCCCACCTCCCTGTGGAGGCGTGACGTGTGTGACAGTCTCGCATTAGTCGTCGCCGCCGACTGACGTTGCGGTGTGGCAGGTGGTGGTGCGGTTCCGCGCCAACCTGTTCTCGGCGGCGAACGGCAACGTGACGGCCTACACGCTGGTGCTGGGCGAGGAGCCGCGCGCCGACACGCCCGCGCCGCTGCCGGCCTGGCGCGACGTGCAGCGCCTGCCCGTGTGGCCGCCCTACCAGGTGCGCGCGACTGACTTGTTTCATTTTGTTTATTCAGGGACATACAGAGTACGATTACAGTTCAGGGCCCCGATTACGCTAATTTTTAACGTCTCCAATACAGACGCGCTTCTACGATTTCTTCGATTCTGCGATACGGATTGGTCAAAACGGCGTCAACGTCAGGTTTTTTGCAGCACTGATCTAGATGTTAATCCAAAGAAATGTTTGTAGCATGTTTAGCAGGTGTGTTAAATGACACTAGATTGTAATAAAATTGAATATTTAACTATTCGATGACCGCCTGGAGTCATTGTATCGGCGGCATACTCTAATTATGGGATTATAGAAGGATGTATCACTATGATAATACTCCTAGAGAGAAAACAACTCAGGATTACGAATTCTGGGGACGTAGTGTGAGTTTACATCAAACGCATTCGATGTCAACTGCTTTAAAAAGTGACATTAAATGTATGACGGATTGTACAGCGCCCCTATCTGAAACTATCAAGAACTAAAATCTTCATTTTTTTTAACGTACTCACTAGTAATGACGTTTTATGTAAACTCACACTAAGCCCTCTGTAAAGCCTGGTCCGCGACTGTGCGACGGGCGCCCGCAGTGAGTGTGCGAGCGCGACAGCAACATAATTACGCACAAGCGATAGGGATGGGTAGCTTGGGGTCATTGGACGGGATTCTACGTGCTCACGGACCAGGCTTTACACGATGTCGAAGTGAACGGACGATAGAAGGCGTGGTGAGTGACTATGGCTGTGGCAGGTGACGGAGCCGTACTACCCGTTCCGGTCGTCGGAGGTGGAGGAGTTCACGCTGGGCGCGGAGCGCTGCGAGGCGGAGGGCGCGCGCTACTGCAACGGGCCGCTCAAGCCCGCCACCAAGTACTTCGTCAAGCTGCGCGCCTTCACCGCCCCAGACAAGTTCACCGACACCAGCTACGCCGTGCTGCACACCGGTAACGTACCGCCGCACAGTGTGTTACCTATGGAAGGGACGGCACAAATTATTTATGGTTCAAAAAAGGTTTAAAATAATAAAAAACATATTCTAATATACATTTATGGTGACTAGGTATCATCTGAATCCGTTTCGGAAAAACTTACAGCACTCTCGAGTATAGCTCGGTATACGTAAGTGTTTGCTACACGAGTTCCTTTTATAGGCTTATGATCATGGTAAATTCTCTTAAATTTATTTTTAATTGCTTTTTGAATGCAGTATATGTAAGGATTTCCACTAAGTATCTTCTTGAAACAGCGCACGTACCTAAAATAAAATTAGTTTACCTACTTAACAAAAACAAATAAGTCCGCAACCTAAAGCAATTTTTTTTACTAATTCGTATAATAGAAGTCCTGTGCTTATGCTACAAATAAACTACCATAACATAGAAATGCATAGAAACTTATCAAAACCACAACTGATTTGTTTTTTTTAAGAAAAGATTTTTTTTGTTTGATACCTCTAAAAGAATACGCAAATAAAAAAACACCAATATTATTATTGTTACGTACGCACCTTCAACTTCACTATTCATATTAAATGTTATCGCGTCGTGTGCGGTTTCGGGATGCACAACGTGAAACGTGACAATGTCGAGCCGCTCCAAAAACGAGAACTATAAACGAACGTTAAATCTTCCCGTAACATTATTTTAGCTGAATTTCTTGACACGAGTTGCTTCACCGACAAGGAGAGAAGCATAAATTAAAGACGAATTCTCTTGTTTATGCTTCCCTCCTGTGTATTGTGTAATTACGTGCCACAGTAGACATTCTACTTTTAGCATCGGCGACTGTTCGATGCGCATTACGATTTCGCAACATCATACGTTAGGACTTTTTAGCGACTAATATTGACTGACACACTGAACAGTGTTCCGTAGATGTTGAATGGATGCGACTGGGCATCCTAATGTGTGCAAAGTGTAACAATCAAATGCTGTGTCGAGCATCCAAAAAGCGACTCAATCACCGCGTTTGGCGTTTTTAAGAGTGCATGACAGTGCAGTTGCTGCATTCAGCTTCTAATACGCTTATTAGAAGCTAAGTCGTCGTCAATCGCTGATGCTGAAGGTAGCATGTGGGATGTGGTTCTATGTAGTAAGAAAAGGAGTAAATGGTGGTGGTTGCGAAATGTAAATTGGTGTGGTGGTGTTTTGTAAACAATGTTGAGTGACCGTTTCTTCTTACTAACGTGAGCTGCTTTTTCAATCGCCAAATTATATTAATATTATTAGACATTTTGTGTACAGAATGTATACGAAACGATTGAAATTTCAGCACTTAAATTTATATAAGTTTACAGGACAAATTATAATAAGGACACGTGTAAATAATGAACAGTGTACGGGTGAACGCACTTCGGTTGGACCTCTTTCCGCGGACCTCAGCGGGCGAATGATGCTTGTGTTACTCCATACAACTTTATTTGTATTTTTTCTGTTATAAAATAAGCGATGATTGCGACTCAATCGTGCGTTCACCCGTAATCTGTATTTTGTGCATCTTACAAGGTTTTGTACTTACTAATGATATGAGTTTTTAATAACACAAAACAAAATCAATCTTACGCCTAGTCAAAATAAGATCACATACGTTTTACAGTAAGCTTTATTTTCAACTCTGCCATATATTTTTTACTTATACTTTTTACGACGAGTTGAAGATTGATATTGTTTAACTGTTTGCAAAATAAAGTTTAGTCGTTTTGTATTCTTTGTTTTAATGACTTTCCTTACCTTCTTACACTTTTGTAACACTCGGCACACAAACGCTTGCTAGCTCTACTCAACTTAGCGTCTTGAACTTATCATTACTGCTAATGTTCGGAATAATCTAACACTTAACAGGCAGTTGGGAGATAGTGCCTTGCTTGGTAGTTAGTCGTCGATTTGTAGATATGCGGCAATCAGTGTTATCTGCAATAATCTGGCCGATAGTGCCGTCGGCTGAGCAGCTCGCCGGCTACGCGATATGGGTAAAATTAATATATTATTAACCTTTCGAGTAAAGAAATTTTATCAAAATCATTCCTCGAATAAATCAAGGAAAGAAACAGTCTAAATACTAGCTGCCCCGGCGAACTTCGTACCGCCTGTTCATCAGAAACAATGGTGAAAGATTCAAAACGGTCCAGTAGTTTTGGAGCCAATTCAATGTATACAAATAATCAAATATTTCCTCTTTATAATATTAGTTTTTATAAATATCTTTGGTCATTGAGATTGAATTACATTTTTTAGTCCTAAAATAAATGTGTGAAGTGAAACATGTTTGTGGATAGTTTAAAAATAAATATCGGCCCTACTGTTTTTTGAGATAACGGTTTGCTTTAGATTAGAGGTGGTGGAGTTTATTACGGAACAGTGGGATTTGTGTACATAATGCTTGTGTTTTGAAGTATAAATAATATATTAATCGGTTATGGATATACTTAGCATTTGTAAATAAGTAAGGAATTCACAAAATTATTTTCATGTTTATGATAATTAATAAATATCTAATAGTGTGACTAATTTATAGATCACAGATATGCATATGCCTTGAAAGAGGACAATAATGATAACGAAGTACTTGAGTGTTAGAACGGATTATGGAATGGTTATGTTATTGAAGACTACGTAGATATTTTATATTTGAAGTTGTGAGTTCCTTGCTGAAATCGGTAAGTAATGCTTCTGGTTTATTTGTGTATTATTTTTTCAATTTCATTTGCACGTCACGTTCTCTGGTTCTTCTTCATCTCTGTGTCTATTATAACAATTTTGGTATTTTAAACAAGGACTGCGGTCTAATTAATTTTCAACTTATATTTATTTAATTCTTTACTCACTCGAAACATAATCCGAAACGCAACTCGTGCATTATTCAAAAATGTAGTAAGCTTTATTTTTCCTAAGTCCATAAGATGCGCGCCCGATATATCGGGCCAATATATCTATCGTCGAAGCGTTCGGTGAGAATCAAAATTTACTAATTCCCAGTCATTCCGGAGTCGAAGCTCCCGATCTAACAGACACAGGAGATGTCGAGGCGCATGTAATGTACCGTTTTCTTGACAAGCAAAAGTAAAGTCAAAGTTGGCACCGTCGACGCCCCAGTCGAGGTCGCCTGGGGAGAGTCGCCCCGCGTCGCCTCCGCTGGGAGCGAGCGACGGTGACCCGGTGTGCGGTGTGTGTGCAGACGTGGACAACACGGCGTGGATCATCGGCGCGTGCGTGGCGGCGGCGCTGGCGCTGGGCGGCGGCGGCGTGCTGCTGGCGCTGCGTCGGCGCCGGCCCCATCTATACTAATATTATAAATGCGAAAGTAACTCTGTCTGTCTGTCTGTCTCTCTTTCACGCCTAAAATACTGAACCGATTTTGATGAAATTTGACATAGCGATAGTTTGAGTCCCGGGAAAGGACATAGGATAGTTTTTATCCCGGTTTTTGAAACAGGGACGCGCGCGATCAAGTTTTTCTGTGACAGACAATATTCCACGCGGGCGAGGCCGCGGGCGGAAAGCTAGTTTGTTTATAAACGGTCGAGGCTTCCCAGGCCCCCGAACGCAATACCTGTTTATTATTCTTTTGACGGTCTTGTCGGTCCGTTTGAATCGCTTCTGCTTTCTTCTCGTTGTTCAACGCGCGAGATGACCGAACGTCTCGTCTTTGATTTTCGTCCTCGATTCTTGCCAGTTCTCACGATAACGTATAGCGTGAGCGACGTGTGACTTTGATTTATGGATTTCATTGAAAACGTACGTTTCTCGCTCTGCAGGTTTAGCGAGGAGTTCGAGGAGCTGAAGCACGTGGGGCGCGAGCAGCCGTGCACGGCGGCCGACCTGCCGTGCAACCGGCCCAAGAACCGCTTCACCAACATCCTGCCCTACGACCACTCGCGCTACAAGCTGCAGCCCGTGGACGACGAGGAGGGCTCGGACTACATCAACGCCAACTACGTGCCGGGCCACAACTCGCCGCGCGAGTTCATCGTCACGCAGGGCCCGCTGCACTGCACGCGCGACGACTTCTGGCGCATGTGCTGGGAGTCGGGCTCGCGCGCCATCGTCATGCTGACGCGCTGCGTGGAGAAGGGCCGCGAGAAGTGCGACCGCTACTGGCCCTACGACACGCGGCCCGTGTACTACGGCGACATCGCCGTCACGGCGCTCAACGAGTCGCGCTACCCCGACTGGACCATCACCGAGCTCATGGTGTGCCGCGGCTCCGAGCAGCGCGTGCTCAAGCACTTCCACTTCACCACGTGGCCCGACTTCGGCGTGCCCGACCCGCCTACCACGCTCGCCAGGTGCGCCCACTCGTCTTGTCACTGTCCTTAGATTGTTTCCTGTTGACTGGAATTGTAAGAATAAATAAAATCATAACAAAAAAATGCAGGTAAAAAAGTACAAGTTTTAGTTTCATAACTTACGCTTGATTAGTAAAGTTTGGCAGACGAGTCGATTTCAAACAAATTAATAAAAAACAAAAATACCATTCAATTTAAAACAGCCTAAGGAACCATCTTGAAAAACACGAATTGTATAGCTGCCGAACGAATTCCTCATGCGACGCCTCAAAGCACTACGCGGTGTGACGTCATAACTTCATGACGTCTTGTACGGAGCGTTTTCGGGTAGTCCATTATTGTACTTTTCAATGAGTGATTTTTTGGGGAGTATTTACCCCACCGAAGTGATCCTTACACCGACGTTTCTCTCATAGAGAGGCTATTTTCGAAACGTCAACGATCGTTATTAAAATTTCTTAGCGATTAGAGTCACTTCTCAATTTAAAATCAAATAACAATGCGTAAACGTAGCTACGTATCGTGTTGTGCAGATTCGTCCGCGCGTTCCGCGAGCGCTGCCCGGCCGACGCGCGGCCCGTGGTGGTGCACTGCAGCGCCNGTGCGCCCACTCGTCTTGTCACTGTCCTTAGATTGTTTCCTGATGACTGGAATCGTAAGAGAAAGTAAAATCATAACAAAAAAATGCAGGTAAAAAAGTACAAGTTTCATGCCCGTTTTCACCATCAATCCCTAATTGTTAAGTGACCCCTATGAAAACAAAATTCCTGTTATGTGTTACCATAGGGGTCACTTAAAAATTAGGGATTGATGGTGAAAACGGGCATTAGTTTCATAACTTAAGCTTGAAAGTCGATTTCAAATGAATAAAAAACAAAAATACCATTGAATTTATGACGAACGAATTCCTCATGTGACGCCCCAAAGCACTACGGCGTGACGTCATAACTTCATGACGTTTCGTACGGAGCGTTTTCGGGTAGTCCATTATTTTACTTTCAAAGAGTGATTTTTTTGGGGAGTATGTATTTACCCCACCGAAGTGATCCTTTCACCGACGTTTCTCTCATAGAGAGGCTATTTTCGAAACGTCAAAATGACGATCGTTATTAAAATTTCAGTCGCTTCTCAAATTAATTTAAAATCAAATAACAACACGTAAATGTAGCCACGTATCGTGTTGTGCAGGTTCGTCCGCGCGTTCCGCGAGCGCTGCCCGGCCGACGCGCGGCCCGTGGTGGTGCACTGCAGCGCCGGCGTGGGCCGCTCCGGCACCTTCATCACGCTGGACCGCGCGCTGCAGCAGCTGGCCGCGCACGCCGACGCGCTCGACGTGTTCGGCATGGTGCACGCCATGCGCCGCGAGCGCGTGTGGATGGTGCAGACGGAGCAGCAGTACATCTGCATCCACCAGTGCCTCGTGGCCGTGCTCGAGGGCCAGGACCTGCAGCCGCCGCACCACAACCCGCACCACCACCACCACAACCCCGCCTTCGAAGGTGAGCGCGAGCGCGCGGCCGCCCCCGACGCGCCGTGACGGCCTCGACCGGCTCATTCTGTTTCGCTTTCAAGGGACGTGACGCCCGGGCGAGCTCCGCCGGCGCCGGCGCGGCCCCGGCGCGCCGCCAGCAGCACAAGTGAGGCGCGTGTGCCGCATGCCCGCCCCGCCCGCTGCCTCCCGACGAGCGGCGGCGGGCCCCCCGGCCCCGGCCCGGCCGCGGGGCCCGCCGCCGCAGCGGGCGGGGCGCTGTCCGCTCGCATGCTCGTGTGTGTGTGCACTGACGCCGCCGCGCGCCCGCACGTGGCTGACCGCGCCTTGTGTTTCAGACGACGAGGGCATCGCCGAGTCCGGCATGTGAGGCGCCCCGGCCCGGCGGCGACCTGCGCGCTCGATCGATCGAAACCGTCGACCGCGCTTCCGAGAACACCTCGCTTGTACGATAGCCTTAAGATTTTATACAGAAGTATTTTTATAAAATGTATATTTAACACAGTGGACCGACACTTTAATCGATTGTACATAAGATTAATTTTATATTAGTTTATAAGACGACGTGCGAGGGCTTCGCTCCTCGCGGTGATGGACGTCGCCGGTCGCCGCGAGCGGTTCGCCTGTACGTTACTTAATATGGCATCCGACCGGCTTCATGTGCGTCTGAATGATTATATTATTGTTACACTTAGAAAATTTGTATTATGTAAGTACCTTGCTAGAAACAATAATGACAGCTTGAATCTCAAAATTGTACTTAATTAAGTGAATATCTGCTCAATGATCGACTGTGTTACGAGACGTTAGTTTGATGAGCAGCCGTCCCGAGCCATCGGCAGTTCCGCAGGTACTTGTTTCGTGACATTCCTTATGCACAGTATGTACTTAATTTAATTTAACGACTTTGATATAGCATACTTTAAAATGCCATACAAGATATTTTAAATATGTACTAATAAAAATGTTCTATGTATTCATTTTAACCTGAGAAATTATATTTTAAGATTCTATGTTATATTTTTCAAAATAAAAGGAATATTTTTGTCGTGATTGTATTATTTCTTTAATCCATATTGTGACGGATTAGCAGGCTGAAGTAGCAACGGGCAGGACACATGGTACGCAGAATTGACGGCCGATGGGGCAGCAAAGTTCTGTGGCCTAATTCACAGTCAAAATCTCTCGCTGATGTTCAGAAGTCGTCCCATTGTGAAAAACAGTTCTAAATCCGTAGGTATTCACAAGGGTCATTTCGATAGAACGATTACTCGATAGGATCGCAACTCGGCGATTTGTTGTAGAAGTTTTTGTACGTGAATGAGACTACTGGAGTGTGGAGGCCAGCCACGTACTGAAAAAAGAAAAACAGAAACTAAAAACCAAAATTACCCAGTATTGATAGTAGCGCCCTCATGTAATTATGGTTGTCCAACGTGGTGGCATAAATCAGAACTATAATCCAAAAAACAAAACATTGAGGATGTTAAACTACAAAACGGACTTCTTGGCGGGAATCTGAAGCGTCATGTTAGCGGTTTTGTTTTATTTCCTCAAATTCGTGTGTGGGCGACTATTAATGGTGGATTATTAACCATTGAGTGTTCGTGAACGTGCATGTGGGTGTGGGCAAGTGAAGCAAAACAGTGCATCGTGATTCTTCTGGTTCTCTCAAGTTGTCCATAGGAGGTCTCAGTAAAGCACCACAACTTTACTGAGACTCAAAGGGTGGGAAGGGGTATCATCTATCATCCTTCATTATATCATTACTTGATCTCATTTTGTAACTCGTCGTTAGGCTCGTCGTATCACAATACTTGAAAATGGCACAAATCAAGTCGACCTCGACGTGTATTGCCAACATCATCAAAAAGCAGAAGAAACTATAGATGACCCACGCTGAACTGTCCCACCAAACTCAATGACGGGGGCGCTACCATCGTTCAACTATATGGTTTCCAACATGGCAAAAATCTGAACCAGCGATCCGGTATAGACGGTGGCGCCCCACTGTCAATGTCATCGACAGGACAGTCCAGTATTTTGGAACTATACAAAACACATTGACAGAGGGGCGCCACCATCGTTCAACTTGATAGTTTCCAAGGCAAATATCTGAACCAGCGATCTAGTTTCCGGTATTGACGGCGCGGTGGCGCCCTCATGTCAGTGTCACGGGTGAGACAGTTCGCTTAACGTTCGTAGACAGAGAATCCCTGTATAATATTATAATTCCAAAATGAAGAATGTTCACTAATTTTGTTTTTTAGCTTTCTGTATTCTCTGTTAAAAATAAAAAATACACGTGAAAGAATTATTTCGATACGTCAATTAGTTTCCAAGATATTGAATTTTAAAAGTGCGGGCGGCGGCCGGCCCGCCATTTTATGCGCGTGACGTCATATTACAACGACTGGCTCATATTTGTATGGGTGGAATCATGCAAACTGAATTAAGACCCACTTCCAGGCAACCGATTAAGCTGAAATTTCGCAAACACATGTAATTTGGATGACCATGCAATATTATGATGACATGGAGCTGATCTGATACCGTTTTCTCGACAAGCAAAAGTAAAGTCAAAGTTGGCACCGTCGACGCCCCAGTCGAGGCCGCGTCGCCTCCGCTGGGCGCTCGCGACGGTGACCCGGTGTGCGGTGTGTGTGCAGACGTGGACAACACGGCGTGGATCATCGGCGCGTGCGTGGCGGCGGCGCTGGCGCTGGGCGGCGGCGGCGCGCTGCTGGCGCTGCGTCGGCGCCGGGGCCCGCGCGCCGCCGCCGCGCCGCCGCCGCCGCCCGCGCCGCGCACCTCGCGCCCCGTGCGCGTCGCCGACTTCATCGACCACTACCGCCTCATGTCCGCCGACTCCGACTTCAGGTACGTCTGACGTCGTGGAGAACGCATCCGTTTTTGTACGCCCCCATTTNTTTTTCTCTATGTCCCTGTCTATACGTTAACGTTTCAGAATGGCCTGTGGCTTTTCAGCCAGTCATGGAACAGAAAATAATGTAGATGGCGCTATTGCTGTTCGTTCTTTCTTTTCTTCTCCTTTAACTTCAAATGTATTTTTTATTTGCTTAAAATAAATTCGCAATTAGCATTATTTCACTGCACTTCTCCCTAATTCCATAAAAGTCTCTTGAAAGCATAATGGCCGATCTAAAAAATATTCTTTTTTTTAATGTGAGGATTCTGTATAAATCAAGTTTCTTTTGCTGTAAACAAATTAAAAATTATAAATCATTACAAATACTGTTTGTTCAAAATTTCTATTTAAACATTTATTGTATTAATGCAAGTTGGGCATAAATATGTGTAAAATGTTCCGTTAATTTTTTTTAGTACTGTTTTCTAAATAAATCTAAATAACTCAACATCTTTAACAAGATGATAATGTGTTGATCCGGATGTTACGTAAATGGCAACTGTCATATTTTCAGTGTGTGAAATTCGTCAGTAGTGTGCGTGCGAAGGTATTCGCTTGTCGCGTTGCGGTGCGTGTGCCTTCTACAAATTGACTTTCATCGCCTCGTAAGTTTGTGAATTTCATTTATTTCAGTGTATTTAGTGATATACAGAATAAACTACCATTATGTGAGTGTACAACATAAAAAAAGGTTGCGAAAAGCAGCTGAATCCGCTCAAAATTTTTTGATCGGATCGTGTCGATGCGTCACCTTTGTGAGCCATTATAATCAAGCTCCACGTTATAATTCCAGAAAATTGCTACGTCTTGTGTATTTCGTAAGGCATTACTGTACGTTGGTATCTTCAAGAGCGTTAGTTGGATAAAGAAGTGGTGGAAAAGCAGGTATGAGTGCATTCTAACATTTCTAACCTAGCGTGTGGGCAGGAAGTGATACTTATTAGTGAGTTGCGTTACTAGCGAAGGCTCCCCGTGATTGGTAACAATTCTTCCTTGTCTTTATGTTGGTGATGATATTTTATTTTTATCTAACAAAGCATCGATTTGCTGTATACAGCATTACATTTTACCTTTTTCAATCATTATGAAATGAAAGTGGTACATATTATTTTTTTCATAACAATTCATAAAAATGTAACAAAGACTTGTTATCTGTCCTTTGAATTATTATTTTTAGCAAGTTTTTGATAACATAGTTTTATTGAGCAGTCTTTAGATGTTATCTCAATTGTTGTTGTTATACCCTAGCTACTTGTTATTGCTACTACACAGATATTAATTTGTTAAAGAAAACTTAACATCCATACATTTCACATTATTAGCTCACACAGCAAAGTTTATTCAACTTATTTATTTTAGTGTTATTGATGCTTATAATGACAATTGTGCTGCCTGGTTAAAATAAATATCAAGGAGCAAGCTATTTCTGACTAGACATATTTTAATTCCCATTATAAATAATCATCTCAAGCATTGTTAAAAGCTCACAATCATCCATATATTTAAAGTTTTTTATTAATAATTTCATAATGTTAACTAATTCTAGGCAAATTGATGTAGAATTATAGAAAAGAAATTATAGAATCATAAATAAATTTGATTTGATTTACAATTACGTATTCTGTTAAAAAAGGGTATTTTAGTTTCAAACACTCATGTTTTTAACTAAGACCTTTGAGCGTCCAAGTTGCATCTTTTTTGGCATTGTTTGTCACTTCACTAATATTATTGATTTTATGTGGAAAGCATTCTGTATAAATTAGATTTTCTCTGCTGTATGCAAAATTCAATACAATACTAATCACTTTAGCTTCCTGATAGTTGTATCCAGTGTGCTACCCTTTAATTCTAGCATCTTATTTGCTAACCTGCTTCCAGAAATATCTATCAAAGTCAGAATATAGAATAAACAACTGTATGAAATAATTATTTGATACCCACTTTGATTGAATTGATCGCAGTGTTTATAGTATGGCCTAATCAATTGCAGATTTAAAAAGTTACCTCATCCTCATTTGACAGATTTTTATGTGTTAGGCCATTCCTGATTCCACAGGTGACTGAATATTCAAGCAAATAAAAAGCATTTGCCAATGTTTACAACTTTACAACTGTGGCATAATTTTACACAATATTCAATTAGAACTTGACCCTACCAATCCTATCCTGCTTCAGTATCACTCCCTATACTAGCATAGTATTACAGACAGACTACAGCTGTTTTATTTTTAGGTAATGTAAAAAAATGTTATTCATTACTTTTTAGCATGATTTTGCAAATTTATTTGAAAAAGTTAAATTGCTAATGATGACAATTTCATTCCATTTGATGATTTTGTTAAACGACATTACGTCGGCTATCCGCTCATTGCGATTAGCCGCGGAGGTCGGGCGCGTCACATCGGCAGCGGATTTAGTAGGTCAGGTAGGCGGTTCTGGGTCAGGCCGGGGCCATCTCGCGGCACTTTTTGTGCATAAAGGGGCGGTGCGCGGGCGCGGGACGCGATCTAGGTCAATGGTAGCGGAGCAGCCCGCGCGCCCATCGAGCGCAGCAAGTGGGTCGCGCCGCACCGTGCCCCTCCGACCCTTTTGTCTATTGCGCTTTGATTGCCAAGCGATTATGGCCCGCGCCGTGCTCCTCCTTCGTCCTAGCGCACGCAGATGCCTTTATTTCACATAGGTCTCACAGCATCATCCATCAGTTTTCCCCATATTTCGTCGCGTCCTGTCACTTTAGTATTTTAGGCCAGACTGCGTAAATCTACATCTGGTTCAAATTCAATCAAAACCTGCGATTGTATAAACAACAACTTTTGCTTTTAATTTATGAGTCCACCGTTGAGACGTGGTGTACCTACGACCTCATAAAGGTAACGGCAAGGCGCTAGATGCAAGCCGCCACCAACCGGCCATTGTAGATATCATTGGGGGAGTTTTTAAACTTTCGCGTTCCATTTCAACCATCATTGCAGCATCGCAGCCGAAACGTCAAGTCGTGAAGTACATAATGTAACTCATTAATTAACGTCGCGTTAAGACCCGTGTCTTACTATTTTAATCATTGTGGGAGGCATATGTTCAACATTGGACGTCCCATGGCTGAAATGATGATGATGACTTAACACTGAGGCTTTTAAATATCGTCGCTTAATTTTGAGTCGATCGACAGCCCAAAAGGCTGAATAGATGCAAAATGAAATGGGTACTAACGTCGATATCTGTAGACGGGACAAGGTTGCTCCGCAGAACTAGGGCACGCGAGCTTAGGAATTAGTAATTAGACGTGCGCAAATGCAGTGCATGAAATACCCGTCACCAAGATGAATTTCTGTAATTTGTAGGTCATTTTACCTATAAATTCCACAAACTCCAAAGTAAACTTGGAATATACGTTTTTTGGCATAAATAAAGATACTTGCTTTATCGGCGAGAGTAGGCCGTCGCGGTTGCTGGCGCGGAATATACATTCCTGTGAGTGTGACGGACGAATACCGACGCAAAATTAAAAAGAATGGCCAGGCCAACTCATTGCGCGTCCAATTCTGACTTCATAGTTAATTTATGACTTTCTAAGATACATGCCTAAAACAAGTAAGTTTCATTCATGTAAGTCAATTTAGTTATTATTACCTATGCCGCTATTTGTAGTTGATCCATCTGATAAATCTGTTCAATTTTCAGTTTAGTCAAGCTTTGTTACCGACGTAGTGCTTTTAAGAATTTTCATGTTATATGGGCGATGAGCTGATGAAAGTAATGAAAATCATTAAACCCAAAAATTTCGTTCGCACATATCTTTTTTTTTTTTTTTTTGAAGGGACGCGCGCTGGTAGCTTGAGGAGCTTTTACAGCTTCACCGGGCAGAGTGGCGAGTACATAAGGTACTCTAGCCGTTTGACGATCGTCGGTGCGCGTGCCGACGAGGCCGAGTGTGGGCTTCGCGTAGCGAAGCCCAGGCTCGTCCGCGTCGGTCGCAGACCGACGTTCGCGATCGGGCCGTATCGAGCGCATAAGGCGCCCGATCAGTGGCGAACCCAATTAGAGGGTTGCCCACCGCGGTGTTGGACCAAAGTCCAGCCTACGGCAGGCTCACTCTAGTGGGCCTATTGATGTGCCGTTCCCGAGAACGCTCTCCCTACTGAGAATATTCTCGGGAGCGCTCCCGGGAGCGTTCTCCTAAGTGAGAAAGGTTGAGAATCATGTTTTTCAAATGGAAATAAACAAACTTTCATAAGTAAAATAGCATTAAATTAAGTCGACAGATAAGTGTATATTAAACAATACACTCTATTTGCAGTGAAAGGCTATATTCCCAGTGTTCCCGAGAATATTCTCGGGAACTTTCTCGGCAATATTCTCGGCAACTGCACGTTTATTATATTTTATTTTTTTCGTCGTGAAATAGCGTTTTAATGATATGTAAGATGACAGAAATTTCTTTTAACACGTAATTAAATATTGTAACTGTCCATTTTTTCGTTTTTAACACGTTTTTATTAGGTCGTCGTGTATGTAACTAACTATGTAATTGAATCTTAGAATCTGAATTACACGCACTTCTAAGTCTTGTATCATCATGAAACTTGGCAATTATATGTATATTAGATGACAATACAATATTGTGGTACCAGCTGGTCTGATGAAGGGACTGGAAGGTGGCCAAAGGAATTCCTAAACGAAACGGCGGAATCCATCGAGTTTGGGTTCATTGGATTTGTATTTTCGAGATCTTTAAGTGCTAGATAATGTCCAGGGTCCTAATGATGGAGTCAGGAGATGGCCATAGGAACTCCTAAACGAAACTGCGGAAACTCATCGAGTTGGGTTCGTTGAATTTGTCTTTTTGAGCACTTTAATGCTAGATGATGTCCATGGTCCTAATGATTTTTGGCCTTTTGGTGCTGTTAGTAATTAAAAGCGTGTTTTTAGTTTTTTAAATTATTCTTATTTGACATTAAGGGGATATTTCACAATCGCTTAGTAAGGGCCTGTTTCGCCATTTCTGGATAAGTTGTGGATAGCTTGTCTGACGGATCATTTTACACATTTTTATAGAAAATACGTGCTAGCTAGATTGATCCCACACCTATCGAATATATTCCGGACATTAGTCTATACCAGATTAGAATGGTTCTCAAACAGCTGGAAAACAACAAGGCACCGTAATCAGCTTCTGAAAGCAGGCGGAACGCCGGTACTAAAGGCTTTTCAGAAGCTGCTCGATTCCGTCATCCTCAAGGGAATAACACCTACGGCATGGCAAAGAGGTATGGTGATACTCATCTTCAAAGAAGGCGACAAGACCTTGTTGAAGAATTATAGACCCATTTCGCTTCTGAGCCATATCTACAAGCTGTTTTCGATAGTCATTACGAATTGTCACGCTAGCAGGCTCGACGACTTTCAGCCCCCCGAACAAGCCGGTTTCCGAAAAGGCTTTAGTACCATAGACCATAATAATATACGCTACGGCAGATTATACGGAAGATCAAGGAGTATAATCAGCCACTTTGTATTTGTGAACTATGAGAAAGCCTTCGATTCGATTGAGACATGGGCAGTGCTGCAGTCTCTCCAACTGTGCCAAATTGACTATCGATACATTAAAGTGTTGAAAGTCTTGTACAAATACGCCACAGTGACAGTCTGTTTCAAGATCAGGACCCGAAACCTATCCAGTTGCAGCGCGTTGCAGTGAGACAGGGAGACGTCATCACCATCGCCCTTGAAGATGTTTTTAAGCTTCTGGGCTAGAGCGGATTCAGCAAAAATCTCAACGGCGAGCACATCACCCAGATAACAGACGATATCGTAGTCATGGCCGAGATCGTGGACGATTTAGGCACAATGCTCGATGGCCTCAATAGAGTCTCTCAACGAGTGGGTCTCAAAATGAACATGGACAAGATTTAAAAATCATGTCTAAAGACCGTGTTGCACCCACTCCTCTAAAAGCTGGAGACTCTACACTCAAAGTTGTTGACAATAATGTATACCTGGGACAAACAGTCCAGTTACGTAGGTTCAACTTCGAAAAAAGATCAATCATCGAATCCAGCTCAGCTGGGCAGCCTTCGGGAAGCTTCACGATATTTTTACGCGGCGTCTCCGTTGGGTTGCCGCTCCGCTTTAAATCCGCTTTGAATCCACTTTAAATCCGCTTTGAATCCGATTGCAATCCGCTGGGGTGGCAAGGGCCTTAAAACTCAGAGGCACACTGATGTTCAAATACCGTAGCCGAGTCCTAAACCCGCGGTACGCGTTCGCCACGAAAAGAGTGAGCAAGACAGCAATATCTCACTCACACGTGTCATGCATTGTTTATAATGACTAGTCTTAACGCCCAGTTTCGAAACATTACAAATAATATCACATATAAACAACAATATTAAAATTAAAACTAAATGTATGCTATCGAGAACACTGAGAATATTCTCGGGAGCGTTCTCGGTTCTCGAGAATATTCTCACTGGGAATATTGCCGGGAACGAGAACTTTCTCAGCGGCACATCTCTAAGTGGGCCCGACGCACATATCTCTTGCTTATTGTTGTCTTTATGCGCAAAGGTCCATTCGCATTTCGCTCTAATGGTTTTTCGCGCTTGTGAATTCGCTCAAGTCTCTTTCACGCAACCGACGGCGCTTTACGCGTGAAGCGCCGATGTAACGTGCTCTCGAGTTAAATGATAAGTAACCTAAGAACGGGTTGAGAAGTTTGTAGTTGAGCTGAGCAATGAGAAGTCAGAGTAGGACTGGTTATATAACCATTTGAAAGTCATCTACCCTTTCAATTCCTCGGACATTGCATCGTCTATTTTGCTTAATTTTTTCCCTACACGATATTATTGTATCATTGAAGTGAAATAAAACGAAGCAGTACATTGCATCTTGGATTCCCTTCAGGAATCTTTAAAACGATGGAATTTCACTCAAACCTATTGAAATGGAATCCAATGCCCTATCGCTACTGATAAGAATTAGGGTAGGTCATAGTCACTGAAACATGGAGTTGAAGAGAAGTTTTACGACCTCAAAACCATCGTAGGCACGTTAAAATATTGCCATACCTGGACCACTTGCTGAAGTATTCAAGGTAAATAAAGAGAGAGAAAAATAATCTTACGATAAAGAAATACAAAGTAAACATGTAATTATGTACATAGATAGATTATGTGTCTGACGTCAAGCGGTCGCGATCTGGATGCGGTCGGGACGATTAACGAAAAATCACGTAGGACAAGCAGAAGGGCGGCGAGGGCGGGCGGGGTCGTCGACCGGGCTGGGCCGACGAGCCCTCGCGCGCTCCGAGGGCACGGGACTCCTAGGGGATGACGCGCCGCGCGGTCACTGACTCGGCCGGAGTCAATAAACCCATCGCATCATCATGATGCGAGCGAGCTCGAGCAGTCCTACAAAACACACCTGTAAATCCGCCATTGATGCGATATTATCATATTATTACCTATTTATCATTTTGGCGCTTAGAGGTCGCATTAGTTTTAAACTTAGCTAGGTTATCTATCCATTTATTGTTATTCTATAATGTAATTAAGAAGCACTAGCACTACGTAACATGTTATCAATAGCCTGACTTATTCCCGTTATTAAATTATTACATAATAATAAGTAAGTTATGTTTTGTTTTTGTAATTTTTTTGCTTTTACAATTTTAAACGGTTCCATAAAGTTTCCGCGTCATAAATTAGGCGCTTATAATAGGTCGTATCTTGTCGTATGCTTATAACGTGAAATAGCTCTTAATTGCTTAGCTACCTACTACCTATTTAGTGAATCAAACAATGCTTGAGCCGGTTACTAAGCAATTTATCAACTTTCCTCGGATCATAATATTGGGCACGCGATAATCGATTTCGCATAGATGCATTTCTATGCACACTTCTATGGCCGGCGTAGGCGCGCGATCTCGCTGCTAATTAGCTAATGAGAGCGCTGCCGCCGCGGCGACCTTGCGCCGGCCCAAGGTCCCGGCGGCCGCCGACCTCGCGCCGCGACGCTATCGACCGCCACGTCGCCGCAACACCACACGACGCGACGCTTCAATCATGTCGTCATCCGTCATCCTACGCTTCGCCTCTCGAAACGGACTATGTTCGCGTGCGCGTTTGAAACGTGACGGCTGCAGATGCCGCTCTATTTTTGGAGTCGGCTCCAGATGTGATGTTCGAGTAGCGTATCGATTCATCGAGAGGTGATCGAGCGAGGACACGTTACGGATCGGCCGCGGGTCGCGGGGCGGGGCGGGCCGGGTCTACGGCCGGCGCGGGCGACGACCGTCAGGATCACCTGCCCGCCGCCGCCCGACGCTGCGATATACCATCTATCTTTTAAATAAAACAAACCCAAACCAATCTATGACAAACCTTCTACTGTTTACTTGTAATCCTTGGAAACATTAACATAATATAATACTTAATTCAATACAACAACATTTGTTTCTGAATTATACCGATCTTGTCGTGACAAGGAAGAGTTGCCGTAAATTGTTTAAAACACTTTGCGAACAGTTTACGTGATTTAATGCTTACTATCCATGGTATAATCATTATATTTACTCAATGGTTACTACTTTTTAGTCATCTTCCGCTTTGCACTGGAGGGAAGTCAATCCTTAACTTAGAACTCCTGCTATATTCTTTAATTTCGTTGCGGGTGACAGTTTAACTTCCTCCCCGGGACACAGACTTGCCCTTCACTGGTTGAGTTTTTATTGGCGGTCAAACTATGGTTCCTGGTTGTACAGAAGTTGCTTGTTAAGAGTCTTTTACTATTTACTCTTACAAATCATTTTCGTACAAAATACGATTTCAGTTCACAGAAACTAATAGTATTCAAATTCGTTTATTTCTTTAACTTAGCCTAGTTCAGTTACAAGTTGTTGGAGCTTCCTTTTAAGCAACAGATGTTGCTTGTGCTCCTAGGAAGCACCGGTCTATTCGTCTTAGGTCACCGTAAATTGTGACTCCATCATTTTCTAACCATGTAATCTTCTCCTAGTTAGCTCACAATCTTACGTTGACATAACATTATTGTTCTGTTAGCTAACCGACTTCAAAAGAATAAGAGGTTCTCAATTTGCGGGTTTTGGTCAGTAAAATATAGGTTCAATGAACTGCCACCCTGCCAAGCCAAGTGCCAAGGTTAAGAAATGTTTAACATATTTTATTTCATCTCTTTTTTAAGTCCTTTTTTTTTAAGATAAGTTTTGTGTGACTTGAAACATACAATCGAATTAAAATGAACAAATATTCGTTCCTCAGAGCCGTCGGCGGGGCGACCGCGTGCGGAACAATCGCGCGCAGCGGCAACAGCGCGAGCGCGGGGCGGCGAGGCTCGGCGCGGGTGGCGGCCAGTGGGCACACCGGCGGCAAGACGGACAGCGCGCGGCAGCCGGGGCCCGCGCGCAGCGCCTCGGGGCGGGCGCCCGTCCCCCCGCCGAGGCGACGCTGGGTCCCGCCCTCCTCGCTGCGACACCACGATGTGCTCGACGGAGATGCCAAGCACGACATCATATTCCGGAAGGTGCGTGCGACGGACGAGCCCGACCGAACGTTTCTCGCAGACGTCGTCGGCTAATGCCGGTTTCCGTTTCCAGGTTCGCGGTATCCTCAACAAGCTCACACCCGAGAAGTTCCAAAAGCTGAGCGATGACTTGCTCGGGCTCGAACTCGACTCGGACAAGGTGCTCAAGGGCGTCATCCTTCTCATCTTCGAGAAGGCGCTGGACGAGCCCAAGTACTCGTCCATGTACGCGCAGCTGTGCAAGCGGCTGAGCGAGGAGGCGCCCAACTTCGAGCCGCCCGGCCAGCCCTGCACCTTCAAGCTGCTGCTGCTCAACAAGTGCCGCACCGAGTTCGAGAACCGCGCTCAGGTACGCTCCCCTCCCAGGTGCCCTCCCCGCCCTCCCCGCGGCGCGCGCCCCGACCTGACGCTCACGCACCTCTGTCCCGCAGGCCTTCGCCGCGTTCGAGGACAAGGCCCTGAGCCCGGAAGAGGAGGAGAAGCGGCATCTCGCCAAGTGCAAGATGCTGGGCAACATTAAGTTCATCGGCGAGCTCGGCAAGCTGGAGATCCTGGCGGAGTCGATCCTGCACCGATGCATCCAGAACCTGCTGGCGCGGCGCGCGGCCGCCGACCACCACGAGGACCTGGAGTGCCTGGCGCAGCTGGTGCGCACGTGCGGCCGCGTGCTGGACTCGGAGCGCGGCCGCGGCCTCATGGAGCAGTACTTCGCGCGCATCGAGACGCTGTCCGCGTCGCGCGAGCTGGCGCCGCGCATCCGCTTCATGCTGCGCGACACCGTGGAGCTGCGCCGCGGCGGCTGGGTGCCGCGCGCCGCCGTCAGCGCCGAGGGGCCCGTGCCCATCCACCAGCTGCGCGGCGACGACGAGCCGCCGCGGCGCGAGCGCGAGCGCGACCGGGAGCGCGAGCGCGAGCGCGACTCGCTGTTCCGCGGCGGGCTGCGCGCGCGCCCGCTGGACGACGTGCTGGCGGGCCTGAGCCTGCAGCCGGCCGCGGCGCTGGTGCCGCCGGCCGACAAGCTGTTCGGCAACGGCTTCGCGCGCGACGCCTTCCGCCAGCGCTCGGCGCCCAACTACTACCCGCGCCAGCAGCCCTACAAGCAGGCGGCGCCCAAGGAGGCGGGCGGGCGCGCGGGCAAGGCGCGCGTGTACGCCGTGGGCGCGGCGGCGCTGAGCGACGTGCAGATGCGGCCGGCGGCCAACTCGCTCATGTTCACCGCCAACCGCCTGTCGCGCCCGCCCGCGCTGCCGCCCGTGCAGCCCAGTGAGTGCCGGCATTCTGTATACTATCTTCTTCCCTATTCATATTCTGATAAAAACATTTATACAAAAATAAACTTAAGGAAATTTCCTATATTTGACGTTCTGACAATTTTTTTTAGAAATCAATAGTTTAGGCTTAAGATCGCCTCAAAAAAAAAAAATTCGTAAAGAGCACATCGAAATCTATATAAATACCAATTTTCAAAACCCCCGAAAAACATTCCAGGCAAAACTACCAAATAACTTGACTAATAATCTTGAGTAAAGAACTGTCTTCTCCCGTGTCAGAAATCGCGGTGCGTCCTGTCCCGTGGGGTTTGCTGCGTTATTTATTTTTATTTGACAATAGCGTGTATCACTGAGCGGTTCCGTTTTGTTTGTAGATATGCTGACGCCGGCGTTCGCGAGCGCGCCGCCCATCATAAAGGAGCCGACTATCACTATCAAACCCGCTCCAGACAAAAAGGATAAACCTAAAAAAGACAAGGTAAAATCTTTATCACCCGACTGCGCCAGAAGGTGGGTTATGTTTTTCGAGTGTATGTATGTATATTTGTTTGGTACAGCCTACAGCCTAAACGGTTTGACCGATTTTGGCGTGAGAGGTGTCGTTAGATTTGTCTTAATCGTGAGAGTGACACTGGCTATATTTTTGACAAAAATCAAAATGGCGGACTTTGGGGGGCCATAATTTCTTAAAAAAATTTTTCACCACCTTGAAGTGTCATACCGATCATCTTAGGTGAAAAAGACTATAAGGCTGAGTTGTCTTGTTTTTATCTTTTTAGTTCATTTGACGCAGTTGGGTTTTTTTTTCAATTGTCACTTGAATTGATCGAGAATTGGGGAGTTGACAAATTTGCGTGTACTCCAACGAGCGTAGTCCACTCGCCTCCGTCAGAACCATGAATTAAAACGGCGTTNAGTCCACTCGCCTCCGTCAGAACCATTAATTAAAACGGCGGTCTTGTCGCGATGTGCACACAGGGCGTGAACAAGGAGGAGGCGTGCCGGCTGGCGCTGGAGGTGACGGAGGCGCTGGCGGCGGAGTGCGGCGACCCGCGCGCGCCGCCCGACGACGACGCCGGCTGCGCGCCGCTGCGCCGCCTGCAGGAGCTGCAGCTGCCCGACAAGGTGCGTGCACTAGGAGCGGTGGACGTCGACAGTGCATCACCCGCTCGGTTCCAGTTTCCGTCGGGAGATTCGAGTCCTCGCGTACGAATATTCATTACTGAGGATCGATTTCAGAGGTGCCAACGGATGTTACGGTATCGTTTCCGGCGGTTTCGCGTTCAACTCATTCTAAGCATATCGGATTTAAAAAAAAATGAAGTGTGAATTAACCGAAGGAGTGATTTTTCTCGCAGGTGCTGCGGCGCGTGATCACGTCGGTGCTGGAGCACGCGCTGGCGGCGCCGGGCGGGGCGGCGGGCGGGGAGGCGGGCGAGGGCGCGGCGGCGGCGGAGGGCGCGCGCGCCTGGGCCGCCTGCGAAGTCGTGCGCGCCGTCAAGGTGACCCTCCTTTGCATGTTTCCTCGGTATTCTGACAAAAATTTAACAATAATCTCCGATCTTGCCATCGCGAATGACATGCTTTTTGTGAATCGTTCGACGGGGATGAGCGCTGATAGGGTCCAAAAGATAAGGAGACACGAAAAGTGCTCCATAAGGGCTACCTTTTCTTTTTTATTATTTACTATATTTTGACGTTCATAAGTGCCACATGTGGTCTAAACTGAATAAATAAAGATTTTTGGGTTTCCCCCATAAATCGTGTGACGATGGGAGTTCGTGAGCTTCCGCGCACTCCCGGATCCTCGCGTGTAACCTCGCTTTGTGTGTGCGCAGCGGGCGCCGGTGACGGAGGCGCTGCGCGCGCTGGCTTGCGGCGCGGCGGCGGCGGCGGAGGAGGCGGGCGCGCGGCGCCGGTTGGTGGCGCTGCTGGCGGCGGCGGTGCGCGCGCGCGTGCTGGCGCTGGGCGAGCTGGGCGCGTGGTGCGAGGGCGGCGCGCACCACCCGCTGCTGCTGGACGCGCTGCAGGAGCTGCGCGCGCTGCTGGGCGAGGAGCGGCTGCGGCGGCTGCTGGACGACACCAAGATCGACCTGGGCTCGTACGCGGTGGCGGCCGAGGGCGCGGCGGCCATGGAGGCGCTGGAGGCGCGCGGGCTGGGCGCGCTGGTGCCGCAGCTCCGGCTGCAGGCGCAGCTGCAGCGCCAGCTGGCCGCCGAGCCCGCGCCGCAGGCGCTCTACCGCTGGATCAAGGTACGCCAGCGCGACGCGGTACGGTGACGGGACTCGGAAGAGTGAATGTTCGTTATAGCAAAATACGTCTGCTAAGTAATTTTGTAAATTTGTCTACCTTCTGCTTGATCACTGTCTAAATGCGTAAGAGGACGCCAGTCACCTGTTGTAAATTTTTTTCAAAATGTGATCGTTTGAAATGACTATATAGTCATTTTCAACTGAGATGATTCCCGTGACACTTCTTCCGTACGACGATGCGTAACTATTTTTGAAAAATATTTGAATAATCATTGATTTTTTGTATATTTCTTAAATGAAAATAAAAAGTATTTTATGATTAAAAAAATAAGTGCATCTCATAAAATATGTAGCAATAATCTACTTTTATCAGTTGATAGAAAAAAACATATTTTTAATTAAGATATGAAACGTGTCAAATGAAACGGAGGGCTCAGTGTGAGCTTACATCAAACGTCGCTAGCGAGCGCGTTAAAAAAAATATTAAAGAACTAAAATCTTCATATATTATATGAAGATTTTAGTTCTTTAAGTTTCCTCTGGGGGCGCCGTACAATTCGTCATACATAATGTCACTTTTACGCAGTCGACATCGAACGATTTTGACGTAAACTCACACTACGCCGCGCCCCGGAACAGTAATGAGACACAGAACTCCTAACACGCGATCCCCGCAGAGCAACGTGGAGCCGGGCGTGCGCGGCAACGCGGCCTTCGTGTCGACGCTGGTGGCGCTGCTGGCGGGCCACGTGACGGGCGCGGCGGGCTCGGCGGCGGCGGGCGCGGACAAGGCGGCGCTGGAGCGCGAGAAGGCGCTGGTGGAGGAGTACGCGCCGCTGCTGACGGCGCTGCTGACGCGGCCCGAGCTGCAGCTGGCGGCCGTGTACGCCGTGCAGGTGCACGCGCACCGCCACCGCTACCCCAAGGGCATGCTGCTGCGCTGGTTCATGTACCTGTACAACCTGGAGGTGTGCGAGGAGGACGCCTTCCTGCGCTGGCGCGAGGACGTCACCGACGCCTACCCCGGCAAGGGCGAGGCGCTGTTCCAGGTGCGTGGGGGCCCGGCTCTGTACGGCTAGCACGAAAAACTTTCGAGTTCAAATCGTTTGCGTACTCGAATCGCCATCAAAAGATTTAGTAAGAAAACTACAACAGCGCCCTTGTGAACGTGTCGTAAAGTGAACTTAGTATGAGATGTGGTTGCACGAAACTTATTTTGAGAATCAAGATTGTCACGTTACGTTTAATTTGAAGATTGAGTATCGAATTTTATCGAATACGCAAACGATTCGAAGACGAAAGTTGTTCATGCTAGAGGTACTGGCTTCTCTTTCGAAATTCGAATTCGTTCGTTTTGTGAGTGGGCTTGAGAAAATCTCTTTTGTTACGCGTCCGAGACCCGAGTGTCGCTTTGATCCTGTCGCTGATGAGACTCGTTTGCCTGAACGGTCCAGTCGTTTGGTATAAAGTTTACCGGGAGTTCAAATTTGTATTCATATACAGGGTGGAAACGATAAATGATCTCACTCGATTATTTCTAAACTATGTAAGATATCGAAAAACTTGTTACTGATCCTGAAATAGCTTCACGAGCTCTATTCAACGGTACCAATGATAGGTTACAAAATAAACTGGATCTATCCGAAAATACAATGTTTCCAGCTTCCATACATTTAGTAAAATCACTTAATATTAAAAACTGAGGAGGCTGAAAACATTGAATTTTCGAATAGATCCAGTTAATTCTGTAACCTATTACTGATACCGTTAGAAAGAGCTCGTGAAACTCTTTCAGGATCAGTATAGATGACCCACGCTGAACTGTCCCGCCAAACTTAATGACGGGGGGGCGCTACCATCGTTCAACTATATGGTTTCCAACATGGCAAAAATCGGAACCAGCGATTCGGTATTGACGGTGGCGCCCCGCTGTCAATGTCATCGACAGGACAGTCCAGTATTTTGGAACTATAACAAGTTTTTCGATATCTTGTGTAGTTTAGAAATAATCGAGTGAGATCACTTATCGTTTCCACCCTGTAGATTTAGATGTGCTCTTCCCGATTTTCACCCTAAGGGGGTAAAACGGGTTTCGCGCGTACGAAGTAAATCAGTCTAAATCGATTTTAAACGACGTGTGCTATGATCCCTCACAAAGATTTTTATTTATTTACTAGCGGCCGCCCGCGACTTCGTACGCGTGGATCCCGTTTTACCCCCTTCATCTATCTTACGCGATTTAGATTTTTTCATACAAATGTTTTTTCCCGCCAACTCCCGTTCCCGTAGAAATTTTGTAATATCCTGTTGTAACTAAGCTTTAAGTTTACTAAGGTAACTGCATGCCAAATTTCAAGCGTCTAACTTAAGCGGTTTAGATTTTTCATACAAAAGGATTTTCCCGCTAATTCCCGGTTCCGTGGGAATTCCTAAGTATACCATAACCTGCCCAGGAGTATGAAGAATATTGTACCAAGTTTCGTTAAAATCCGTCAAGTAGTTTTTGTTTCTATAAGGAACATACAGACAGACAAAAATTTTACTGATTGCATTTTTGGCATCAGTATCGATCACTAATGAATGACCCCCTGATAGTTATTTTGAAAATATATTTCATGTACAGAATTGACCTCTCTACAGATTTGTTATAAGTATAGATAACTAGCTTTTGCCCGCAGCTTCACCCGCGTGAAATTTAGTTTGTCACAGATCGTCTTAAAGTATAGCCTATATGTTCATCTAACTTATAAACAATAATACTGTGAAGTTTCATCAAAATCCGTTCAGTAGTTTTTGTGTGAAAGAGTAACACAAACATCCAGACATCCAAACTTTCGCATTTATAATATTAAAATAGGATAGTGACAAGTTAGGCAACAGGTGAACGACTTTATATAGGTTCCCAGATGTTCACTCATCACGAGATTCACAGGTCACCCTGTGTGCAGTCAGTGTAGTCTCGGCGTGGTAGCGTGGTACTTGGTAGTGACGTGCGGCGTGTTGCAGGTGAACACGTGGCTGACGTGGCTGCAGCAGCAGGAGTCGGAGGACGAGGAGGCCGAGGACTAGAGCCGCCCTCCGGCCGCCGAGGACTAGACGCCGGCACCGCCCTCCGGCCGCCGACTAGACGCCGGCACCGCCCTCCGGCCGCCGACTAGACGCCGGCACCGCCCTCCGGCCGCCGACTAGACGCCGGCACCACCCTCCGGCCGCCCGCCCCCCCGGCCGCACCGCTTTTATTTCGCGCTCATCTCATATAAATATAATTAAGCCAAATAGTTAAAAATACCTACCTTTGTTACCCTTTAACGCTAGACCCGCCGCGCCCGGCGAATCCAGTGTTAAATAGGTCAATTTTTAGGTTATACTACGTAAACGAATATTAGTATCTCGAGATAATTTTTTGTAGGCCTTTTACTCGATTTTGATACTTTTTACAAATGTATACAATGTATAGTGTTCGTTTGGACGTATGATTGCACCCCGATCTGCCCCCTTCCTGCAGTGAGCGTTTTAGTTAAAATTGTAAAATATATATATATATATGTATGAAGAACTTAAATCAATTTTTATTAATAATATCATGATCATTTATTTTCAATGCTAAATGGACTTAGTGATAAACTGTAAGAATGCTTAAATTTCATTGTATTATCAAATTTTAGAATTTTATAACTAGATAAACAAAAAACGAAAAAAAAAGCTAATAATTCCCTCGGGCATAAGAAATGTATGTTGAGTGAGTTGTAAAGTTGTGAAGTGAAGCCAGGTTGAGAGCCACATTGGTCAATATGTATTGTATTCACGATGAGAAATAAACTTCAGTGTAATTTATTACTGAAATGGTTTTCATTATTTTTCAAAATGTTCTTTAGGCACCGTGACGGCTGACGGTAGTGTTTAATGCATTGATTTTACTGGCGGTAATAAAAATAAAACTTATTGAACAAACAAAATTGAATAAAAACCGATTACTTTAATTTTTTGCGTGTTTTGTCTGTTATATAACTTGCTGTTCCTACCAACCTTTGATACAACATTAGGCGTCCGTGTCGTCTGTAAGATACAGTGTCACTTGACCCTACGTCATTGATACTAGTGACATTTAAAAGTTACGAGTTGACATGAATAAATAGAAGTCAATGAATCAGTTAACTCCAAGTTTGAGACTTCAATACAATAAAGTCTTCAATTTTATGATACGAGATAATTTATAGGGTTTAATGGAAAAATACAAATGCAGCAGTGTAATAAAATATGTCTAAGTAAGGAAGGATATTTAACTACTGGGAAATTTACTCATGAATAGGTACTTACAAAAAAAACTATGTTTAAAAAAACTGACATAATATTGACTCCAAAAAGTTAAAAAAAAAGTTACGTCATTTCATTAGGAGAAACATAATATGACCATGATTGATATCAGTCACATTAGTAAAAAAAAATACAGCAATTTCATAGGCAAAGGTCTCTTTATTTAGAACAATAAAATCCATTATTTGTGTCACATTGTTTTTTTTGTTTATCTTAAAATCAACAATTCAACTACAATAAATTTACTACATTTACTATAAACCTATGTGTGTAACATGTGTTTAAAGCACTGTGAAATCGTGAACTCCCATCAGTTAATAATATATTGCATGAGATTGTAAACTAAACAGTGGGTTAGGTTAGATAATAATCTGACTAATGTCAAATCATAATCTGATGGGAGTTCACAATTTTACAGCGACACACTATAATAAAATTATAATGACTTCATATCTAGTTACACTTGAAAACCGCCTTGTTCCAGGATCAGTGGAGCTGCAACAAGTAATTGGACTGTTATTCTTCATTTCAAAGAAGGCACTGACCATTGCGCTGACACTGGTTTATTATTCGGGCAAACTATCAGCCGAGTCTGTTACTGTAGTCTGCGTGCTTCAAAAAATCCAGGCACATCCAAGTCTACCATAATAAGTATTTTTTTTTATAAAAATAAAAATACAAACCTCTGGTGAAAATTTGCAATAAGTAAGAAACTTGTGCCAAAAATTACTACTGAAAAATGTTGAGGTTAAGTAAGAAATATTAAAAATTAACCTACTAATATTTTTTCATGAGATGGGCTACTATTTCTGATATTCTTGGACATACTCTCCTATCTGTGACTAAGACAATGGAAGGAAATAACCAGTAGAATCGTTTAACTACCGAGATGGATGATAAACTCACCGATTCTAATAGCAGCGCATAACACACAGAAAGTTATAACACTATTAATTGTATTCTCCCGAGCTTGACGCTTTTCTTCCAAAGGGTCGACTCTCTCGCCATACGGTAAACGAAACATGATCAAATGTTTAGTTCAAATGTTAAAAATTGATAAATGCTTTCTGCNATTTCTACTACTCTATTATGTAAATTATAACAAAAATGTCAATGTTCAGTTTTAAATTAAAATAAAATTAATTTCATTTAAAAAAAGTTTTCACATTGTAATTAACAATATTCTCAAATATATTTTAATTAAGAAAAAATGAAAATATGAAGGAAACAGGAGCAGCGACATCTAGAGCGTTTTAGGGTAGTTAAAAAGTATTTGAATTTATTCACCGATGTCGCTGTTTGGAAGGAAGTTTCACTTCGATGACCGTTGTATGGAAGTTTCTTCACCCTGACCATAGAGAAAAATTAATACTTATCCATGAAGCTAAAGATAAAAATGGAGGCCAGACTTGGAACAAAAACTTGAGTCAAATACCTACTTATCTCTATCTCGCTCTCTGTGGGCCGACCTCTCTTTTTAGTGTGGACTGTAGTATTGCTGTAAAATTATTAAATTCAAAAGTTTTTATTTACTTATTTGCATTTCCATGTGCAATGTAGATTTTTTCCAAATACATTGTTTTGAAAATACGTACACCATAAAGATAAATATTTTCAAAATAATGGATTTGAAAAAATTCTACATTGTAGGTACATCATAAAAACAATAATTCTTTGAAGGTTATGAGGGCCTATGTGTGCGTGAACTGTGTGTATGTGTGCGTGGACTTTATGTATGTATGTGAGCGTTTCGTACGTAGGTTAAGTACAGGGAATTTAACACCAGGCTGTCAATTAGTAGGCTCAAAAATTTGACAGAGAGGGTTCTCTATTTCCTATGTATTACTTTTCTCTATGCTCTGCACACTCGACTAACTGTGACATTGACAGAGCAGAGGTGCCACCACAGATGAGACAGAGGGCGCTACCGTCAATACCAGATCGCTGGTTCCGATTTTTGCCACGTTGGAAAATATTGGAATTTCATTTGCAGGAGGGCGCTGCTTGCTTAGAAATTGGTAGTTGTTACTTGAAAGTTTTGACGAATTTCAATATTTAATTACTTATCATTGGAAAAAAGAGAAGCTAGAGATGTTTTTAAGATCATTGGCAATCCATTATCACCTTTGATTTTTTTTTAAATAGAAATCTAAGTTGAATCGATGTCGAAAGTCGATAATTATTTAAAAGATAAAATGTTAGGGATGTGTTACTGCCTAGCTCGCATAAATATTTATAACTTTGTACATTTTAAAGCCTGTAAACCTTTGAAAAAGAGGCTGACAATAGTGACTGAGTTTCTTGGGCTGCTTCTTCTCAGCACTGGCCCATTTATTGTCCTGAAGCAGTGGTAGGGTTAATAATAGGACGTCTTGGGTAAAAAAGTCCAGAGTGAATTATACAGTGTGAGTCACGTTAAAGTGTACATATGAAAATAGATGAAACTAGACCTATTTTATCGACAAAAAAGGGGTCAAAATTTTACAGAAATAAATGAGTTTTTTATCCTGGTTTGTACTTTTGTCAAGCTTTGGCGGCTCATAACTAGCTATCCAATAATTATCTGGATCTGAAATTTATTTTATTTGACTAAAGACATATTCGATATTAATATAAAATAAAAAAACGCTTGAAAATATGCGAGAAAAAAAAATTGAAGCAGTTTTTAGATGAAATTTTGGAAAAATTAAATGAAAACAAAAATATCAATTAAAAAAAAGCAGTTCATTTAGGGTCAAATGGGCGAACTTGTATTCTTAAAATGACCTTATCTATTATGCCCACGAAGTTTTTCTAACCTTCCGCCAAACAACCTGTATATTTTTTTTAATCTTCTTCTTCGGTTCAAGAAGATTTATAAACACTATTCTAGTGTCCCCAAGAGTACAAAAAAAAAAATAGCATGACAGTAATGACAGTAAGTAATGTTGCCATTGTCGCTCGTTTTTGTTGTTGGTTGTAATCGTTTGTTACTGATAATTTCTTCCATTATTTTCAATCTCATGAGATCGTATTAATCTTTCGAAACTGGACTTACGATACTTGTACTACAGCAGATTTGAAACCGTGGTTAAAATCAGTTGCTCCTCACTTTTACTAAAAATAAATGGTGGAGTTGCGCAACATGGCGAATTCAACTCAGCTGCTGTAAAAGAACATTTCAATGATTTTGTGATTGTGACACGCTCTAGTTAGCTGAAGATTTGAGATTGGTCAATGACTATACAGTTAGTTAAAAAATCCGTTGATTATCAGTACGTAGTGTGATGGAACAATCGATAAATGTTTGCCTGTAACGTCACTGACGACTGAACATTGTCCTACAAAAGTAGGTAGTTGTTTTTGTTCGGGAACCAGCTAAAGAAATTCATCAAGCTGGAGCGATTACCGGAGTACCTGCGCGATACCGTCGACTGGTTCATGGGGTAAGTTACATGACGATATATTCTCGTTTGACATACAAATAAAACTTGAAACAGGCATGCAGTCTCAATAAAATTCTGAAATCTCAACTTCACACAAATGTTGTTGAAATTATTGAGTATGTCCGTTTTCTGCACACTATTTAATACGGGCATATCAATATCATATCATTTATATTATTTATTTACTCATCAATTTATATGATGAAAATTTAATCTTAATGATGACATATTCCAATGGTAACTCTGATTCAATGGTAACTCAGATTGTAATTGTGATTGCGATTCCAATTAAACTTATACAACCAATTTCAAACTTGATATTAGTTGAGATAAATACTCATACTGAGCTCAGTTTGCTTCAGAATGTATTTTTTTACAATTGTCTTACAGAACGGTTTGCGTAGTGGGTTGTCTGCACATTAAAAAAAAAAATTACTTCAACAAAAATGAAAATACTTTATTGACTAATCTACTGCTTTTTACGATTCCTACCTAATAAATATTTTCTTTGAATTTTAAATTTTTTAATGCTTATTTCTACTTAGCCATTGGTGCATCAATATTCTTGTTAATAATATAGTCCAGTCATTATAGTAAGTTCACCTCGGAATTCGAGATACCCAGCTGTAAGTCTGTAAATACGTGTATATTGACACCCTAAAAGTTGTCTCAAAACCTACATATGGTAGGGTGTAAGCAACTATTAAATTTCAAGGTCAACGGTCACAAAAATCGTTTTTTTGCGCTTTTTTTAGAAATATCTCATTTCCTGTGGGTTTTTTGCTATTTGTATTTATTATCAATATTATAGAATACTAAATTCTCTACAAATTTTGTTTAAAAACTTTTTTTATACGGTGAACCGTTTTCGAGATAGAGGGCGGAGAGCGCGCGGTCACTGCATCACTTCAGGTCTACTTAAGCGGTTTAGATTTTTCATACAAAAGGATTTTCCCGCTAATTCCTGTGGGAATTTCGGGAATTCCTTGTTGTAACTAAGCTTTGAGTTTACTAAGGTACCTACATGCCAAATTTCAAGCGTCTAACTTCCGTTAAGCGTTTAGATTTTTCATACAAAAGGATTTTCCCGCTAATTCCTGTTCCCGTGGGAATTCCTAAGTATACTATAACCTGCCCAGGTGTATGAAGAATAATTGTACCAAGTTTCGTTAAAATCCGTCGAGTAGTTTTTGTTTCTATAAGGAACATACAGACGGACAGAATTCTATACATGAAATATATTTTCAAAATAACTATCAGGGGGTGATTAGTGATCGATACTGATGCCAAAAATGCAATCAGTAAAATTTTTGTCTGTCTGTCTGTCCGTCTGTATGTTCCTTATAGAAACAAAAACTACTCGACGGATTTTAACGAAACTTGGTACAATTATTCTTCATACACCTGGGCAGGTTATAGTATACTTAGGAATTCCCACGGGAACAGGAATTAGCGGGAAAATCCTTTTGTATGAAAAATCTAAACGCTTAACGGAAGTTAGACGCTTGAAATTTGGCATGTAGGTACCTTAGTAAACTCAAAGCTTAGTTACAACAAGGAATTCCCGAAATTCCCACAGGAATTAGCGGGAAAATCCTTTTGTATGAAAAATCTAAACCGCTTAAGTAGACCTGAAGTGATGCAGTGACCGCGCGCTCTCCGCCCTCTATCTCGAAAACGGTTCACCGTATAAAAAAAGTTTTTAAACAAAATTTGTAGAGAATTTAGTATTCTACAATATTGATAATAAATACAAATAGCAAAAAACCCATAGGAAATGAGATATTTCCAAAAAAAGCGCAAAAAACCGATTTTTGTGACCTTTGACCTTAAAATTTAATAGTTGCTTACACCCTACCATATGTAGGTTTTGAGACAACTTTTAGGGTGTCAATATACAAGTATTTACAGACTTACAGCTGGGTATCTCTAATTCCGAGATTCTTACCTAATTTAAGCTTAAATGACTGGACTAATATGCATGTTTTATCAACAAGAATAATCAGGGTTGGTATTTAAATACAGATGTTATTTATTGATACTGGTAAACTAAATACAGAAAGTAATAGGTTACAACACTTACTTTTGTGTTACCTATTTTATTAATTAAGATTTAAGAAATGTCTGGGAATTTATTTTTATTTCTTTCTTTACTCACAGTAGTTAAATAGTAAATAATAATAAGTCTTTATTGGGAATCGCAGGTTATACAGGAGGAAAATTTATATTACAATTTGTTTCACTGTGTAAAAGGCGGACTTCTATATTAATAAATACCAAGCATTTGGAGTTAACGTCTTAGAACATTACTTCATATATTAAATTAAATCTGGCAAGGCAAAGTCTCGTACAGTACATTTGTTACCAGCAATTTGTATAATTGAGGAATTCTATACAATCCCTAGTCAATGTGTAGAATGCCTGGGGCGCATAGGCAAAGTATGAATGTTATAAATTTTTGTTCAATAAATACTTTCCCTAGACAGCGTATGTTATTCATAGGCATTGTATAGAATACCAGCTGGCCCACCGGCAATGTGTAAAGTAAACAGTTTTGGCCTGTATTGATAATTATTATTTATGTACTAATGTCAAACATTAAAATAACCATATCGTTATAGCCAATGAGCTGCTGCCTAGATAGAATTT